ATTATTATTATTATTAGTGCTGCTGATGGTATTCAGAGAATGACTGACAGCGATAGTAGTTATGATCAGGATTACGATCGTTGTTACGTTATCGATTAACACGATTCATCGATGATTTGCGTAGGTGGGTGGCGCGTTAATGCTCGCCTCCGTCGTGCAGATGCTTATCAGCATCTTCGGCGTGGTTGGCTTCATGATGCGTTTCATCGGACCGCTGACTCTCACACCTGCCGTCTCACTAGTCGCCATCAACCTGTACGGCGTTATAAACAGCATGTGTGAAAAGCACTGGGGCGTCGCCTTGTTGTAAGTCAAATGGCTGAAGAGTCTCCAGCTCAGGCGTTCTTCACATGTGGTTCATGGACCCCTTCGGAGTCCGTGGATGGGATTCAGGGGGTCCGTGAACCAGGTGCATAAAAAAATATTGTGTTTATGTGCTTATATGCATTTTTCTAGGGAGGGGTCCGTAGCTTTCACCAGATTCTCAAAGGGGTCCATGACTCAAAAAAGGTCTAGCTGAGCTAAGATCTAGGCTAGCTGAAATAATGGTGTGTCGTGCTCGCCAGGCGCGCACGGGGTGGGGAAAATCCACACCAGAATGCTACTGAACTTATCAACGCTGTTCATAAAACTCGGTTGTTTGCGTGTGTTGCCCCAGTAGCTGGGAATTTTGCGTGTTAGGTGGTCGGAGTGGGAGGGTGGCTATTGGTAGAACGAACACATACACAGGATTTGTTGGAGTCATATATCTTATATATAGTGTTGCCTACACGAACCAAGTTTACTCGGCTACGATACAGTTGGCTTGATATTGACATATTGGTGTATACAGTTGCGATCACAGATAAGAGCCCGCATCTATTATGACTTGAACTTGACTTGACTAAACATTTTTATCTTGGCTTAGTTAGAGTAAATGTTAGTTTTCGTAATCTAATCAGTTATTGATGGGGAAACATTACCGCTATAAAAAGGCTATTTCGGGAAAAATGCTCAGTTTGCTTGTGGGTTTGTTTCCTTTTTGGGTTTTCTTTTTTAAACGAAATGAATAATAAAAATAGGCATTTAATCACATAGTTGCGAGCAAGTCTAGTAGTGCGTTAGTTCCGATATTTGGCCTCGTCAACTGACATGTATCGTGACCTCTTTTATCGCTCCCCAGCGCGATGGTGGCGACCCTCATCTCATCGCTGTATGTCGGTAATAAGGTGATGCTACCCATACCGGACTGGAACAAGCGCGAGGGCTGGGTCTTCCATCGCTTACCCGTCTTCACAGTATTTCCTGTAAGAATGATAGGCTAATATATACATATGCACTGTACATAAATACTGCAACACACTGCGCCAAGTAATACAACTGCACTGTCAAGAAAATGCACGCACACACACACGCACGGACGTACGCACGCACGCACGCACGCACGCACACACCCACACGCACGCACGTACGCACGCACGCACGCACGCACGCACACAGATTTTGCGGCTCGGTGATGCTTCCACGAAGATAGCCCGCTGCAAAATGCGCAAGACATCGGTAAACAAGCTTAATAAATTCATGCGTGGCATGTCACGCGATCGTAACCTCGCCGTTTTGCACGAACGCAAAACACCGTCATATCGTGCGTAGCGCCATTACTCATCGCTGAATATAATGCGTATCTAGCGACAACTGAATATCGTGATTTTCTTTATCCAAGTGCATCGAGTGATAATACTGCTCTCCGTATCTACGACGGCTAGATTCTGTTGACACGCTCCCTGTTTCAATGCCGCGTCACTCAACCGAGTGCGCGTCTCATCCGCAGGTGTAGAGATATAAACATTGAATATTGCAACGGCACTGACGATTTAATGGGCTTATATGCGAGCAGTAGGTGAGCAGTGATTGCTTCCGTAGTTGTGTATATTCGTCCGATGCTTATGGAGCTGGCGGCATTGTTTCTCGCTGATCGATAGTGACCTTAGCAGCCCTGACAAGGAATTGGGCGTCTGCTGAATGGGACGATAGAAATGGGAGAGATTTGTTTAGCGGAACTAAAATGCTTTCCGATACACGTGATCCATTCTCACGCATTGTCAACACGTGGCTTCCCATGCGATCGATTTTTGCCAAACGTAAAGAGTTCACCGGTAAAACGTATGACCTTTAGGTGGCGTGGAGTTGAAGGCCAAATTACACTTCTCGCCTGCATACCTTATAGTCGGTTTGGCCGCCGTCGTAAATAATAATTGCGGCATTCACGGGTGATGAGTGGTCACGGGAAAACATAACCATGTATATATATATATATATATATATTAATAAGAGAGGAGAGGCCGATTTTCTGACCGCGTGGTAATTTTCGCCGCAGAGCATCAAGCCCACGCCATCCGCGAACTGCAGTGGAGACTAAGGTAAACCGGAGCCGCACGCTATACGCCTTAGAGTGGTTCGGGCTGAGAATTAGGCCTCTGCGCCTGTATACAATGCTGGCTCGGGAAGGCCTGATTACTGTCTTCTATCCAATCCCGGAATCATGCGATGGACTCGCCATAAGCCTTGAGGTCGGCGTCGTGGCTTCGATAGTGTTCAGATTCGGTGAATCCCAGTACGCTTCTCTATTCATTTCTGCTTGCGGACGCGTGATGGTGAAGGAGGAGGGGGGCGAGTGAAAACTATTTAGACATTAAGCTAGCGTATATGTGGCTGTATGGTGAGACCCAATATTTTAGAAGTCTGGGGTGTGGTGGATTGCTGCCGTTAAAAGGTTTGTTTCGCTACGCGTCTTTTCCCTCCCCCGACCCCCGCGCAGCAAGCCCGGGGTACCCCCCAGCGCCTACCGTCCTAATACGCTATACTATATCTATATACGAATAGTATACTAAGCTATTTTCTAACAACGGTAGAGTTTTACAAGCCCGAGCAGTCGTTGCGAGTGTGAAACATGTGGATTGCTTTAGCGCCCCCGCAGAGCTCTCACCAAGCAGAGGGCGTACGGGGGTGAAGTTAGAATTCGGTATGTATCTCTATTTGCTTATTACTAGCTACTAGAGACTAAACAGATACATATAAAATATAAAGCGATATATGCCTTTTGTTGCCATGTCATGGGATACATCGTTCCCTGCGGAAATAGTCACTCGAATCACATAATTTGAAGGGCAGAACGTGTGAATTGTTATTAAAACATTTCGTCATGACATGCTAGGTTTCCGCACGGTGTTTATCATTGGAATAATGACCGTTGGGGAGCTGGTCATGGCCGCTTGCAACCCTGCCCGGCTTACCCACTAGTTACCATCAATTAGACAGGTCACAGATCGAGGAGTGATCAGATTGGCTAGACGCTGCCGGGGGGGCGGGATAGGTTGGTGTCATATGGTAACATGGATTTCGCACTCAGATATTGGTGTTTTTCACGAGGGCGTGGTGTGAAAGCACGAGCAATGCTATTCGTACTGGATGAGCTCCTGCTGTGGGCTAACCTGGCGAAGAGCCCTATTGGCTTTATTGTTAGGAAGCATGTTCAGCTGTGTGTGTGTGTCGTGTGTGTGTGTGTGTGTGGTGTGTGGTGTGTGTGTGTTGTGTGTGGTTGTGTGAGTGTGAGTGCGTGCGTGCGTGCGTGCGTGCGTGCCGTGCCGTGCGTGGCGTCGCGTCGCGTGGCGTTTGCGTCGCGTATGAGTATATATATGATGTGTGTGTGTGTGTGTGATCTGCTGTGTGTGTGTGTGGTGTGTGTGTGTCGTGCCTGTGTGTGCGTAGTGTGTGTGTGTGTGTTGTGTGTGTGTTGTGTTGTGTCCGTGTTGTCGTGTGTGTAGGACTGTGCGGTCGTGCTGGTGTGTGTGTGTGGTGTGTGTGTCGTGTGTGTGTGTTTGTGTGTGTTTGTGTGTCGTGTGTGTGTGTGTGTGTGTGTGTGTGTTTGTGTGCTTTGTGTGTGTGTGCTGTTCCGTGTGTGATGTGGTGTTGTGTGTGTGCTGTGTGTGGTGTGTGTGTACGCGGTGTGCGTCGTGTGTGCGCGCGCGGCAGTGTGTCTTATAAGCTTCAACATAAACGTGGGAGGATATTATTAATATGTTGATAATATGTGTAAAATAGTAGTTCAGGGTGTGATACTCAGAGTTCGTTTAGGCGTTGCCCCGTGCCTCCTTGACTGTTGTGATAGACGCCGTGTACATGTAATATATGTCGTACATGTCACGCGTGCCGTACATGTACATGCTACATATACATACATACATATATACATATACAATATAATATACATGGCGTATGATACATATATAACCTAATACTAATACATCCTAAACAAATTATCTACCGTTTAATAATTTCTGGCATACTAAAGCTGATATCGTTACAAGGTGGCTAAAACACTGGTAGATACAAATCAACCAATGCACGTTTCCTTATATGCTTGTGATGCTTTTTACGCTATGGAGGGAGCGTAAGCAGCGACTCTACTTACTCGCCCAGTCGCATTGCATAGCAACCACTCGACCGAAGCATGCACATCCGTATAGGAATTTATATTACCGCGTTAATCAGCTTTCACGTTTCGCGTTTCCAATTAAAAAGACAGTTAGAGTTAATCAAAATTATCCCGCTAGTTTGCGTGCCCCTATAGTACGCTTTCATACCCATACGCACTACAGTGCACGGCGACCCGCCGCAGCTCGACCTATTGCTGCTCGTAAGCCCCGGTACCCCACTGACAAGGTCGTGGAGTGGTCAAATCGCAGAAATACGGTGGCTTCAACTCCACAGTTTGTGTGTCTGTTCTGATTTTATATCAAATATACTGCACATGTAATGATGTGCTTGTAATAAAATTTGCCCGTGTGCGCGTGTGTGTGTGTGCGTTATGTGCGCAAATTCGAAACCACTTCGCTATCAATTCGCTAATTCTAATCGGATACGACACTATCTGTGTTTGTAGCGTAATTACGAAAACGTAATTACGACAATATATGGTGTGCGCCATCGTAACTTAGTGATTGGTGTAAGGGCTATTACAGTGACGATCGGGTTTGTCTATTATTGTCAGGCGGTGTTACATGGGTAGTATATATTTGATATTTGTTCATCGTGGTCACGTAGCGGTTTGTGCTATGAATATGTTTTGTCATGATTATTCGAATTACGCGTTAGAGTATGACGAAATAATAAATACTAATTTATTTTAATAGTTGATTTAGATTATTTTTACAATAATGATATTCCAGCGATGTGTCAGATTCGTGTCCAAGCCTTATGGGCGAATTTAGTATCTAAGCCGTAGATTGGCATAGATTTTATATCTGTGTATACACAGTGTACTACTAATTCCGAGTATTCGAGCATCGTCATAATGAGCTGTATATCTGTTAAATAATTAATAGTTAGCATTCCATGAGGTAAAACAATGTAGGTTATCGCGTTTTATACAAATCAGCCTTTGAATTTACTATATAGAACATACATTATGCTATTGATAATTTTTGTATCTTGCATAAGTAATTAAGTGAAAGTTTCTGGAATGTACTAAATTCCTTTTTTGTGAAAGCACACAGATTTCACGCTACATCACTACTACACTACACTACACAGCGGCACAATTCACGTACATCTACACTACACCACACACATCATCAGCATTAATACACTACTACATCACACACGACATACATCATCACACAGCCACACACAGCACACACATCACACACACACACACACTACACCACCCACCACACACATCAACACAACGAAAGCAAACAAGCACTACACACACACACCACTTGTTACACGACACATAAGACACACACACACAGACACACACACACATACACAGCACCGTCCCCACGACACACACACACAACAAACACACACACCACACACACACCGCACACACACACAACACACCACACACAACACACACACACCACACACGCAGCAGCGACATATACTACATAGGTTCCCGCCCACCTAATGTAATACATATATATAGTATACTAAATATGAAAGCAGATCGCTGGTCTTATTTTGCTTGGTCCCTTCCAACCTCGGTAATCTAATAGGACCTGATGGCAGTCTCGTCGAATAGAAGATGATGTTAATTTCCGCTCACACATCGTGCGCCAGCCAGTGGAAGGCCTATTAAGTGGATCATGGCGTAGATGACCGTGTCCAGGCAATACAACAATGTGGATGTGGCGATAAACGGGTTTCGTTGGCTGCGTCTTGTATGGAGGAAATTGCACGCGGAAATGACATTCTGCACGCTGCATGACCCGTGAGACTCGCCTTCCGCGTGGTGAGTCGTGAGCCGCCGCGTCCGCATTTA